GTATGTAGATAGATAGATAGATAGATAGATAGATAGATAGATAGATAGATAGATAGATAGATAGATAGATAGATAGATAGATAGATAGATAGATAGATAGATAGATAGATAGATAGATAGATAGATAGATAGCCTTTATTGATCCCAAGCTGGGAAATTGCAGTGTAGCATCTGTTTTCATTTGTGTATTGCAAACTGTAATTTCACTGCTTGATGTCACTAAATCCTATCCGCTGGTCCTTTAAATCACATAATCTACATCTACATGAAGCTTTTCATATTCAGATTCTTTCTATTGCAGGTGCAAATGCAAACTCCTCGATGTTGCATCAATTTTTATCTGATGAGGTTAAAACTAACAAACAAAGGCTCTCTTAATGCATTCCAGTTCTGCAAAAATCCCCTCCATTATTACATTGATTTTGGATAGAAAAGCAGATATCTACAAACCACCCTCTTACTCGATCATCAGGTGAGGATTTTTGTATTTTTTTCACAGTGAACAGGTCTGTTAGTTTTATTTGAATGAAGGCTTTTCAGCTGCCAAACAGAAAACGTCCTCACATCCCAGTCAAATCACCATGCTGTCAATGTCCCATTATTCACCGTCTAAAGAGCAGCTCCAGGTTTTGTCTACAGATGACATCATCACTTCTCTCTGCTGTTCGGCCTAAAGAGAAACTTGTTCAGATTCAGAAGTTAGAACTGAACTGCACAATATTACAGGAATATTATTATTCTATTCTTATATTTGATTCATTTTATTTTATTTTAGATATAGTGTGTAGTTTTATTCCTTGCTTGTAGTATTGCTTCAAGCACCTCAAACATTTCACTGCTACTCAGCAATTAGACCTAATAGTGCTTTTTGTGTTAAATATGCTTTTGTCCCTGTTGTTTTCATCTGTATAATGGAAGTATATGGAAGTAAGTATGTGTCAGTATAATCAAATTTCAAAAGTAAAACATAACTAACAAATTATTTGTATAATTATCTAAATTATTGAGAGAGCTGTCATGTGGCACCACAGAGCCAACAATAAGGGCAAAAGTCTGCCCCGTGAAAAAGAACCTGCGGGAACTGTAAACAAAAAGACATATTATTAAAGTAAAAGACCAATAGGTTCAAGATTACACAAGTAATTTGTCTGCAAGATATAGGTTTTACTTTTGAGATGGCGTCCTTTTTTTGCTACAGTGAGTTTTATTTTCTAATTCTTATTTTTGTTTAACATTTAGGAAGCTTTGTTTGATCATATTGACACAAATCTGATACTATATGAATACTGCCTCCAGTCAACAGCAAGCAGCAATCAAAGGAAAGGTTTTTTGCACCTTAAGGTAATGACCTAATGGTGCGAAAGGTATGACCTTAGGGTGTGAAAAGGTTACAAAACTGAGCGGCGACAAAGAGCATGCAGTGAAAAAGGTGCTGTTGTGAGTAGCTGTAGGCATTTTAGGAGGATATGGTTTTTCTATTTTAGAGCAGGGAGTGCAGTAACAGTCCTTTAGCAACCAAACAAATGTTTTGTATCCAGTCAATAAAGCAAACAAGCAGTACATTATGAAGGATCGGCTGTCTTACAATTTCTAATTACTAGCTATGGCGTCTCAGTGCCAATCACTGCAGTGACATTTAGAAAGCAGAGTTAGCGTCGGTAAAGGCAAACCTTAAAACACTGCTTTCAGAAATTCTACTTTAAAACATTTACTGTGAGTTCTTTTAATGCATTTTTCATTGACAGTTTTTTTGTGACAAACTATTTTTTGGGTAAAAGCGATAATAAAATAAATAATGTTGTGATTAGAAAATAGGATTCATGGCCCATTTATGATCCATCATACCCATAATAAGTACTCATGTCATGACATCAAATCTTTTGCATGCTTTTATACAAAGCTATTTATCAGTGTCAAACCTTTTCTATTATTAATGGTATTTTTTATTCTCTGTTTTTGGAAGACTAACAATATTCAGTATGCTGTCCTTCCCACTTTATTATGGTAGTTTAAATTAGAACAGTAACAAATGCTGCATTTATTAAATGTTTTATTTCATAGTTTTTATTTCCTATATTAACTGCTGCAAAAGTGATAGAAGCTGTTATATATTTTGAAGTGAAATGTTTAAGTTGTCAACTAATTTTCTACTGAGTATGTTTATCTATAGCCATTGTGTAAATATGGAGATTTGATTATTATTAGCGTTTATTTACTTTTGGCTGAATATGCTTTATAGCTCTGCTTATCTGTTCTTTTATATAGAACCATACACTGGTGGACAAGTGGAGTGTGTTTATTGGTGTGGCAACAGTATTCAGTTAATATCCTGGAAAACAACGTGGCTATAATAAAAACTATAACTCTGAAATAACTAGAAAATTGAAAGGTTATAGGGAGTCAGCTCCTAAGACTTTCTTTCAACTGGTCCTTCAGGCCCGATATTGGAGACTGCCACAGTGAAGATGGTTTCTAGGAATCAGCATGAGCCTGCAGAGGAACCTACAGTTCATCAAAGACGCATTAACCATAGACCTAGTTATTTAGCAGACTATATACTTAGTGAGGGGCAATGATCATACACTCCCCATCGTGTAGTAAATCAGATGATAAGAACCCTTCAGTGCACATACCAGTCAGTATTCAACTTATATAGGAGAAACAATGAGATGAGAAGCGAGATTATGGAACCTACAGTCCTTAAGGCATTCAGACAAAGGGAACAAATAAAATGGAGCCGCTCATGGCAAGCAAGGCTGATGAGCAGGAGATGGTTTCAGCACTGACAGAGCTGAGGTCAAACCCAACACAGGTTCCAGTCCCAAAACTGCACACTATAGAGGGCTAGGATGGGGGAAGAAAACGACGACAGACCTAGAATCAAGGTGCAAGCTGCGTCATTAGTCCTCCCTTGTAAGCAGCGTGTGCTGCAGCCAGCCATGAATGAACACCCGAAACTTAATGAGGTACCACTGAGTCACATCCAGTCTCCAGTTCCAGCACCCAGGCAGTCATTAATTGTGAGGTCTGGGAGGGATTGCCATGCATATACATGTAGTGAAGCTACAAAAGAGGATTATGACTAGCTAGTCAGAATTTCTGTGGGAAAGGAAAAGAGATTGGTTGTGGGCTGGGTGGGGATTTATTTTGTTGTGTACCTAAAGAATATTTAAATAACAAATAATATTTTATGTAAGTGTTATTTAAAATTTACCCAATAAAATACAGCTTGCAAGCATTGTTTCATATGTATGAGCAGGAAAAAACATTAAAAGGTGTATTACATTTCAAAATAAAAGTCTAAAAAACCCACTAGCGGCCCCTGGAGGCAGTTATGCTCTTAACCAAATATTGTCCTTGCATAAATTAGTAGGTAAAATATATAAGGAGTAGGTTTCAACTCAAAGGGCACTGACCCCTTACAATTTTCAAGTCTGCAGGTACAGTAAGTCATGAAGGACATGGCCAAAAGCTTAGAACAGTCTGTCATTCCCTTTGTAAAACAGCACATATTCTTTCATGCAAGAGTTTAAAGAAGTCTGTGCCAAAGAGTAAAACTGGGGGAGATATCTTTAAATCAAATGAGCAAAATGCACTTGAGGCCACGAAGAAGTCTGTCAGAAAGTTTGTAGTGTTATAAGGGGTGATTCAGCTCCTTGGAGGTTAAACCTAGGCGGAAAAGGCCCAGGATCTTTCTCTATTTTCACCTGGAAGATCCCACTGAGTGCTCAGGAAATAAAGGCCCAGAAGCTTGAAATTAATTTACACTCCCAGAGGCAACGGAAATGAGACCCTTCAGTCAGAATGACTCACAGAGAACCGCAGTCATTATTAGTAGTTTTTTTTAATGATGAAGTTACATTTTCCAGGGAGGCTTACATTTAGTGTCGGGGGTGTCATTTCTGTTGATGCATCATAGTGGCACATCAAAGCCCTGAGTGGCACCTGGACGATATCCAAGAGGAGAACATCTGCCATACTGTGGCTCAACATCCCACCAGCTCACAATCAGACGAAAAGGAAAAGGTTATGGCACCATTTAAAAAGAGTACCATCAGAGAGGTCGTTTGCAAAGGGAAATTAACATTGATGTTTATGTCGATAATTATTGTAATTCACATCAAATACTAGCCATTAGTGCTTTAGTGTTAGGGAAAATAGGGGTTGGTTATTACAAGCTTACTTCATACTGTTGCTGGTTGAAAGGCCCCATTATGTATGAATAACTTCAATATCTATATTCCATCAAAACAGAAAGCATGACTACTCTGCGATTCCCTCATTACAAAAGCATTTGTAATCAAGTTTGACCCTAAAACATTGGGCACAGTGCAGATGTGTAAAAAAACAACCAAAAAAAGCATGATGCAGTCTGGTTTCATTCACTGTTTTGTCCCTGATACAGTAATTATGGTAAATTGACTGCACTTACATAGCGTTTTTCTACCTTACAAAGCGGTTGACAATTTGTCTCTCATTCACACACACAGCGATGGCAACAGAGCTGCCATGCAATTTGGGTTTAAGTGTCTTGCCCAAGGACACTTCAACACATGGACAGGAGGGGCCAGGGATCAAACCGTGATTAGTGGATGACCGTTACCCTGGTGGGTTAGTGTCCCTTTTGTTAAGGTGCAAAAAGGCCCTGGCTCCTAAATGTTCGGGTATGTTTATTTTTTTAGGCTTTAAGTTAAAATTAAAATATTTTACCAATCAAATGTGACAAAAACCTCAGAAAATATATTTTTTTAAATCTAGTTTGATGATCTGGACAACCACATGTCTTCCTTCCTGTGTTTGGTGAATGCAGTTGATTTAAAATAAATAGTAGTTTGTGTCATCTTCATGTAAACTATCAATTACCACTGGTAAAAGATGACTGGGTAATAAAGCAAAAAGAAAATTAGTTTGACAGAATGAATATAAATTATTCTGACATTTATGAGTTTGATAGATTTCTGTGACCGAGGGAGGTGGGTAACGATGACAAACTGATCATGTGGCTGTGTCACTTTGTTTACCTAAATGTCGGCCAGCCGGGTTCATTTACCCTCAGATCGCTGAGAATGAACCGTTCCAAAACAGGCAAAATATCTGGGGACTGTTAAACCAACATGACCGGGTGAGTGTCAGTTAGCATTTATTTGTGCAAAATAATCCTTGAAACTACTGCCATCACACCTAATTTTGCCCAGTGGGTGCTCTGTATTTGTCTTATTTTCCCTCCTCCATGTCTCGCTGAGTGTGGAAATGACAGGGTTATATGGCAGCTTCACCTCCCCCAACTTCCCCCAGCTATACCCTGATAACCTGCACATAGTGTGGAACATCACTGTCCCAGACGGCCACAGGGTCAAACTCTACTTCAGCCACTTCAGCATGGAACCCTCAAACCAGTGTGAATATGACTACATCCAGGTACATGCTGGAGAAACTCCAACTCCCATTATCTGCACTGGAGTTTGTAACTTGCTCACTCAAAGTCCTCTGACCTTGTCACACCAGGTTTTGGCAGAGGGGAATGAGACCTTGCGGTTCTGCGGTGAGGAAGAGAAGAACTATGAAAGCACCCCGAGGAACACAGTCATCCTGTCAGCCGGGAACGTCATGTCAGTGGTCTTTAGGAGTGACTACTCTAACGAGGGCCGATTCACAGGCTTCCAAGCATTTTACACCTCAGAAGGTGATACAAAATAGTGACATTTGTTGCCAGAAGGCAGATATATTTTTGGCAGTGTAATTACACCAAGCAATGTGAAATGGAATTGCTAGAGAAACAATAGCAGGATTATATGATTGCATGTATACCCAGAAATATTCTAAATTACATAAATACGGTGACAAAATAAAGGCACACATTGGAATGAAGTGCAATGTTACTAGAAGGCTCTTAATTTACATATAACTGTCAGCTTATGCAAATGTAATATCGCAAGTTATTTAAACTTAGATTTGAAGTGTAATTGGTAGTTCCTATCTCTCACTGCCCTTGTGTCGTTACATTCGGACAAAATATGTGACTCCCAGATCATCACAGTCAGACCCTTTTTTTTATCTCCCAGATTCTGGGAACTGTTGATGACTCTTAAGTAAAAAAAAAAAAAAGACAACTTCTGTTTTCATGCAATTAATACTTTTCCAATTTAAACTCTTGTTTTAATTGGATGTAACGATCAGAGTTCGGAGCCTTATTTAAGCTGGCAACGAGTAGTCATCATTTTGTTTTTTCATTATTGTGTGATCTAGAGTTAAGACAAACAAGACTAATTTAGTGTCTGCTTAACTTGTAAAAGCAGTGGTGATATATACACCCAAGAAAGATACAAAGTGAAAAAAAATATCATACATTATTTGATTTGACTTGAGGCACATTGAGGATTTACTAGACATTCATGTAAAGGCTTTCCCCATTTAAAGAATGCTCATGTACAGAAAAATACATTACTGTGTTGTGTTTCACTCTCTAACCCTTCACTCTCCAACAGACATCAACGAGTGCCTATCCAAGATAGATGGGGAGAGAGTGTGTGATCATTTTTGCCACAATTACATTGGTGGATATTACTGCACGTGCAGACAAGGATACCTTCTCCATGACAACAAAAGATCCTGCACAAGTAAGAGCCACGCAGACTAAAGCTCAAGGGGCATGTTCATCTGAGCTCTGTCAAAGTGCGTCAAAAGCTGTGTAGTGAGGTGCAGTGCTAAGAGCTTGGCACACAGCGTTTGACTGTATATTGATCTGCGTAAATACGGTATATGATGTTTCTCAAGCTAAATACGCTGCTGCTCAGCTCCCCACTACCAGACACAGCAGATATCGATGGCAATCAAGCAAAGTAATTTCCATTAGTGCCCATTGACTTCTGTTTAATGCATTTGGCTTCAACACGTTTGAATTCCTCAGCATTTGTTCATGATATAATCCAATAACGGACAAACCTTTCAGTTGGCACATTTGTCAATATGGTATTGGAAAATTGCTGTTAATTTCAGACTTTGCTTGATGAAAATTAGATAAAATTGTTGGGCTGTAAACATACGACTACACATACGTATAGGAGGAAAGGGCCATCTGTATTTCAAATTGTTCTCCATATTTGACAATAGTGCAGAACAAATCTTCAGAAAACAATTTTCTGATATTTCACACAGGGCGCACGGTTGATATTGTTCTAGACTGGATTTCATTCCATCATAGCTGGCCTGTGCATACTGATGCATAAAGTAGTTGATCTCTGCCAGCTGGTGTAAGGCTAGGTTAATTACTGTCGATTCCTTAGGGAAAAGCAACTTCAAAATGGCATTAAAAATTGATACCTGTGTGCAGCACTAATAGTGTACTGACATGAGGTAATTAATCACAATTACTAGTGATGTGCCTTAAATTATTTTTCTTTGCCAGCGGAAAAAGGGTGACAAAACAAATCATGCAATGAATAGGCAAAAATGATTATCTGCCTACAGATTGCACTAATTATATGAATTACAGCAACTCAGCCTCTTTGCGATACTCATTTGTTTTTCTCCGTAACAGCATCTGAACACTTGCCGGGGCAATAACGCAAACCTAAATTAATCCCATCATTTATGGTGCCAGAAAATGTCTCAATTGAAGTAAAAAAAATGTTTTTCTTCTCATCAAAAAACTTTTTTTATAGTCAGTGCTTTATGATCCATAAAGCAGGCCTACAGATAGAACATTAGACTTGTTCCTCAGTATTCAAATTTATATACAAGAGCTTTGAACACTAAGGACTGGACAAAATATCTAAAACAAGCCTGCTGTGTTTAAGTGGGATCTAAATGACTGTGAGTATTCCCTACAGTGCCATGCAGCAGCCAGGTGTTGACCTCGCTGTCCGGGTTTCTGACCAGTCCGGGCTACCCGAGTCCCTACCCACCCATGACTCAGTGTGACCACACCATCCGTCTGCCAGAGGGCTACAGAATAATCCTGGACTTCCTGGAACCCTTTGACATAGAGGGACATCCAGAGGTCCCTTGTCCGTACGATATGTTGAAGGTCAGTCATGTGACTTCAGAATGTAACACACAGGGAGATAAATAGGCAATGTATTCGTCCTCATGCTTGTGGAGGCAGTATATTACAGACTTGTCGTCCTTGGGTGATATACTGTATGGGCATGCCGTTTCCTGCATATTTAAGTTTGGCCATACATAAATCATTCAGGCATTTAATGAATCAACATTTCTGTTTTTTAATTGATGTCCCTCTTTTACAAGATTTCAACAGCTGGACAAGAGTATGGACCCTTCTGTGGACCAGTGCCACCAGGTCGCATTGACACAGGAAGTTACCAGGTCCATCTTGCCTTCAGATCTGACGCTAGTGGGAAAAACAAGGGATGGAAGATCAAGTACATCAGTAACAAGGCTGAGTCTCTCATATTAACTAAAGACTAATGGCTTGTTGACATGAACATTGTATGTGTAGTTTACACAGTAACTTTGAAGTGGCAACTTAACACAACCATAATTTTTTAAATATTTTTTGATCATGACAAATTTCTAATCCTTCATTCTTTGTAAATTTCGAGATACTGCTATAATCTCACCAGCACAATCCTCTCTTAATCACTTTGTATTCTGTTTTATTGTTTTGTTAATTGTGCAAATGACTCAAAAGACACTTTGACTTATTAATTTAGAAAAAAAGTTCATTAAAATACTGTAAATGTTTTGTGACCATAAAATGCAACCAGCCATATGTGACATGCATTTTAATCAAAGAAAATAAAGTATTCCTCAAACCACTGTAGCTGAATGCAAACCAATCTGCTCTTTTCTAGCTTAAGACAGAAACACATTTTAATGCTCAGGCAGAAATAATAAATTAATTCTGTGAAGTATTCCAGTTTGTCAGTCTGGTCTAAGAAGCAGTGAATGCTAGACGTTTAACCTTCATACATTATGCAGCTTGTTCTCAGCAATCGTAGCTCTACTCCTCTATCAAAACAGTCATTATAGGGTTCTTCAGTCCCATGAAATTGCCTCTCATTTGACACTTTTGCATTCACTCACTAACGTTTCCTCCATCTGTGCCCCACAAGTGGGGCAAAAGAGCACGCCTGTCTGTGTGGATGTGAGAAAGAAACGCACTTGTGTTGATTTATTTGTACTGTTTCAGTTTTTTTTCCTTGTCTCTTACAATTAAGCAAACGCCACTTTTCTGTGAACTCGTGACTTTTTTAAAACCTCATTAACTTTAACTGAACTGTACTACATACGTTGTACTTTGAAGGCCACCACAATGTACCAAAACAAGGTACGTACTGACCCATACATCACCTCGGCATTTGCAAACCAACAGCATCGTAAGGTCTTGGGTGGATATGTGTTCTCTGAAAGTCATCTGACCATATGGGATAAGATTTGTTTCCACCATGAAAAGCCCAGACAGTCCTCAGGGCAACTGAGTGCTTACAGAGCAAACCTGCAGTTGTTGCCTGTGCGCTGTTAACTCATAATCTAATCCACCAAGACAGCGTGACACATGAAAGCACAATCGACTGCTCCCGTTGCCCACTCACTCCTAACTGTTCAGCCTAGTTGGAGCCAATTCCACAGGAATTACGCACACTATGAAACCCATTAACCAACAGTTGGAAAATATCTGGCGGCAGCATGCAGCCAATAGGCTTACAGCTAATATGCCCATCACTATTTTGTTGACAACCCTGCATCTCTAGCTTGAACTTACTGTATGTGAAAAGGGAAATATAAAAGGAGGTTCACTGTGTTAAAAATATTTGTCTGTTATTTCTGACTATGGAAAAGCATTTGTTAATCAGTACTTTAGGGTATTTACATTTTATTTTTACGACCAAAAGTTCTTTCTCACTACACAATGCTCGGCTTTTGGTTAAGTCTTAAGAGGAAGTGGAGTCTCAAGAATACCGAATGTGATATTTGTCAGTGCATAATTCTACATGCATATAATATACAGCAATAAAAAAAGGTGGAGCAACAGCTCTTTCAAAAGTTTGAGGGCTGGTTTATTTTAGAAAATCCCTCGTACCAACATGTTTATAAAGGGCACCTTAAATCACATACTTTACATACAACTTCCTTTTGTAACATTTGACGTACATGATTAAATTAAATACAAAATGCAAATGTGTTGGGGAACTCACAAGATAATTCTTACAGGGGTTTAAAATAAAGAATAGTGAGAGGTTACTTTTGGTGAAACCTCGCAATGTGCCGAGAGTCAATCTCAGTTTAGAACATACACAAAACACTGAGTAAACAGATCTTCCCACTTTCTCTGTATCTACTAAAAGTACAAGCCAGTAGTGACAACTCAATCTCACCACAACACAAAAAGATGAACCTTCTGCAAATTCAGATCCACCATCATTTATGTCCATGTTCAAGCGATAGGGGATGAGATGACAGGCATGACAAAGGCTATCATCCACATGACCTATGAGTCAGAGACCTGCATACATTGTACACACTGTCTTACATCACAGCCACCAGACTGAAACATAACTTCAATAACAGTATATAATAGATTGTCTTAAATGAGCTCTCATCCAGAAATATTGGTTCTATGTAACTCAAGGATGAAGCTATGTCATTATTACCCATAAGGTCATCCATAATGTGCTCAATGAGGCTTGCATGTATGAAGTGATATACATCTTAAATGGTCAGACTTTTTATTTTTAGAATAATGATCTGTGTATCCCATTCAAAAAGATGTAGTTACTAATGCAAACACATCTTTTACACAAATCTATTTGGTCCATGTCAGCATTTGCATATATCTCAGAAAGAACATTTCTCTCTGTAATTTGGTGCAGTACAAGTTACTATGGCATTGTGTCTGGGGTGGATAGTTTCTGCGTTCATCATATAATGGTACTTTTACCTTCAATGTAGTGATTCCCCAAATGGTGACACACCAGTTAATGGTGACATTTCACACCAAGGTGCACATACATGAAGACTGTGGTAAAAAACAGAAAGAAAAAAGCCATATGTAGGCAAGCGTATATTTATAAAAATGTTTAAGTTCACTAAAGGGAAACCTGTTATTATATTACGGTGTTTTCATCACAACTTATAAATTGCTTCACATTAAGAGTCTACTGGTGGACTATAAAACTATGGCACTGTACTGGGAACATCATATTTGAACACTTTTTGCAGTAGTCACTGAGGATGAGAACAAGCAGGAACAAGTTATGAGGTGCAGCATCAACCTGATAAGAACACACTGCTACTCTAAACTTCCCAAAAGAGCAAAGAGCCCATATATTAAGGATGTAAATGTAATTTCAGTGATAGCACATGTAAAATGTAAAACAGACAAAAAATTATATATTTTGTCCCTCACCATATGCTGGAGATCCACAGGGTTTCCGTTGCTAGTTCAAACTATATATTTTCTTACTTATCATAACATAACATAGAATGGAGTGCACAGCTTCTGTCTTACGTGGCAGTGTTTAAATGGATAGCAGAATGCAAACAATACTGGGAAGCTGATTCAACAGTAACAGTTTAACCATAAGGCGATAATTACACATAACAGTTAAATGAGAAGATTGATTCCACTCTCATATCTGTGCACTTAAATATGAAGCTGAAGCCAGCAGCATAGCTTAACATAAAGACTGGAAACAGCAAGCCTGGTTTTGTCTGAAGATCCCAAAATCCACCACTATCACCCCTATAGCTCATTAGTTAATATGCTATATCTTTTATGTTTAATTATCAAAAACCAAGCGACATGCTGTAATTTTACTGGGGGGTTTTGTGCAGGACTATGTTTTGGTCGAGCACTTCCTGGACTCTTGTCATCACAGTGAGGTTGCCAGGCAACCAGTGGAGAATACAAGAAGATATAAAGGTGCTAAGTAGTGAGCTTACAAGGTGCTGATGGGCAGAATTTGTTACCTTCGGACAGAGTTAGCTGTTTCCCACAATTTCCTGTATTTATGCTGCGCTAAGCTAGCTGGCTCTATTGCTTTGAGTTTCCCATGAATATTTTTTTCTAAGATTATTTTCACAGCATGGCACTCATCAAAATAGGGAGCCAATAGAAATTTGATGCAAGTGGTTAATGCAGACCTGTCTTTGATAAACATGACTTGTGCAAAACTTCCTCTCGGGGCAGAAGCATTCAAGTGGTTAGCAAGTTTGACAAAGTGATGCAAACATCAACATCATTAACATTCATGGATTCCCGCATTATGGATATTATCAGTACCACAGGATAAATCCCATTCCACTGACCCTGAGGCAGGTAGTGTAAATTCTTATCAGTCTCTGCTCAGGTGAAGCCCCGGCCTAGTTGCTGCCTTGGGCTGCCGTTTTTATGCCCTGCTCCGCACTCTTCTCACTGGACTGCTGGCTGCTGTCCATCAGTGTGTTGCTCCTGATGGACTGCACAGCCTGAATCTGCTCGAGACGTTTTGTCAGCTCGGCTTTGCAGGCCTGGAGCAGTGCCGACGTCTTTGTTCTGTCCCAGCCCAGCACCTGCTCCATAGCTTCCACCCCTCTGCTCACTACCATCTAAAAAAAAGCATGGGAGAGGCTTCGTTTCAAACACTGAAAATGTGAAGATGTGACACTTTTGTACAAACTAATCCAATCAGACAGCCCCGTAACACACTATACACTATAATTTGTGAAGCTTGCCACTGTGTCGGAGAAGAGTTGACTTCAGGCTGTAGTTAGTGCTGTTGGTGAACTGGACTGGAGTTATATTGAAAGGCGTTTCTAATATTTTGCTCTCCTTGTTTATGCAAATGAGAGTTGTATTCTAGCTAAAGTAAATGGCCTCTGAATTATATAACAGAACAGTGCAATAATAAAGTATGGAAGTCGTGTGTCAGGACTTGCGATTTTACGTAACTGCATTATACATTTTACAGCTGCTTGTTAGACTTGATAGGGTATCTTACAGCAAAAGCCTTGTGTCAGAAAGAACTATATAAGACTATGATGAAGTATAGGACAGTTAAATACTGGCCCCACATTGTTGTGACATGTCAATGCACCTCAGTTGCTCAGGTCTGTCTAAATCTACTGTATACATTTTTTTTAGGAGGTTCTAAGAAAACTGATTATATACAGTATGTATACATGTATAAAGGTCATATTTTGGGTATTTTTTATCTGCAGATGTTTTAAGAAAGGCTGGATCAGTAGTGTGAGTGCACTACCTGCAGATCTTCAGTGGACAGTCTGGTCTCTGGGCTTGTTTTGCCTTTCAGGACCATCAGTGTCCTGGACATGAATCCAGATGCAGAGTCCACCTCCATCCCGTCTGGCACATCCACGTCTCCAGCCCCTGACACATTAAAATGGGTTCTGTTTCAGGGTCATTCGTTGCGTAAGGGCATAGTTATAATAAATCACTACAAGAGGTGGGATTATTCAGCAGCAACAATGGTTCCACCTAGTGACCAAAAGGCACAAGCACAGCTCTCCTCTTATCTGTAAGTGTCAATAGAACAAACTATTTTTGGGTGATTACCTTCCTGCAGGGATACACCATCATAGGATAATATTAATTATTTTCCTAGATGCTGTATGCTTATTGATCACAACTATTAATTTGGATTGTTTCAGGATAGAGGAATATATATAGATACATACTTTATTTATTCAGAGGGAAATTCAATATATGAGCACCTCTGGCAATTAAAGACTCATAGACTGTATTTTGTTTACAGCAAACATTCTACATAAAAATACATTTTACATTATTATTCTAAACTACTTTAAGTCTAAAACACCTAAACATTACAATAATGCTTAAAATCAAATGAAAGAAAAGAGAACAGGGATTTTTATGTTATCAACAGGCTCTTGAGGGCTGCTTGAGACTTTCTATCCAACAGACTATTGGCTCCCTTAAAAGACGCTGTAATAAATTTGGAGAGGCAATAATCCAAAGGCGACCATATCTCTAAAATTACATCTTATTTTCTTTAAGAGCTAGTATTACTGCAAAATACTCTTAGGTTTCTGTAGAGATGCTTTAACCCAGCTGAGATACACAGACAAAAATGACTTTCTAACCAAAAGTAGCAACTTATCACATAGTTCACATTGTGTCAGAAAGCCACAGTATAAACTATGAAACCAAACTATGAGAGGGTAAGCCAAGAATGAAATATCTTAGATCTTTATTTAGGATAACCATTTTACCAACCATTTAACCAAATTGTAAAAATGAAAGCCACCACATAATGACACAGCCGTACCTCCCTGGCTTGGCTCTTCCAGCTGTCTGTCCTCTTTGTCCGCAGCTTTGAGGTAGAGCTGGAGCAACTCCTTGGACTGTCTCTCCTCCTCTCGTCGGTCCAAAACCCTCTGCAGCGTCTCCTGGAGATCCTCTGCCTTCTTCTCTTGGAAGCCCAGAGCAAAGGCTAGCTCAGGACGCGGGGCATCCACTAACATCTGGAGCAGCAGGGGACACAAATTATACTTTAAGCAATAATATACTATACTGTAGGCTTATATAGTGCTTCGAAGTCACAGCAACAACAAATAATCCAACAAAAGGAAGGAATGAACAATAAAGCTAAAAGTATAGCAGAGCTTTCTGCCACAAGGTAAAAGTTCCATATTTTAGCTGTAAAGGATAAGGCGGTGTTGTACAATATGTTTTTCTTACTGTCAGCAAATCATATGGCCAACACCAATGTTAGTTTGACTCTCAATACTTTCACACTTCCATACCCTGTCTGTTGTCTGTGACACTCAGACCAAAATCCATAGGTTCCTACTGATGACATAAATATTCAAATGTGTAGCAAAGCTAGAGTTTCATTTTTCAGTTTATCTAACAGCTGGGCACTGTGCATTTCTCAAACAGGACTAACTGGTTATTGGGGACTATTTGTAGTCGCGGACAGTGTTTGCGAGTTTGACAATAATAACCAACAGTGGCCATGTTTATCTTAGTGAGGGAATATGTCACCCAGTGGGACTCACTGATGTGTTTTTTTTTTAACATTTTAGCACAACAATGGAGGTATATGGCAAAAAGGAATAAGACAAGAGAGGAATCAATTTATAATCAGTTTGTGTGTTTCCGTGAGATTTGTTCAAAATAAGAAAACTACAGAATATGACCAGCCTTGTTTTCTCACCAGTGTATGCTGGGATAGGCATGACAGTAAAAACTGTTGGTGAAATAAAGGAACAATGTTGCTACCTGTAAGTCTGCCTCTGACATGAGGATGATGCTGGCAAGGTCCTGCTTCAGCTGCTGAGCAAGGTCCAACCAGGGTGCTTCAGCAGTAGAGGCGTCCACAGCATCAGTCTCCAGCAACACAGAATCTCTGGCCATCCAGGCCGTGCCACCATCCACTACAATGAAAGGTAAATAAGTATCAAAACACAAAGCTTTAACGGAACACCTATAGTTGAAATAATATAGATATTGCAATATGGCAAAGTGCAATATCTGTCAAAAAATCTGAATTATTTATTTATTTTCTTCACATTGTTCAACCGTACTTTCATTTTAAATTATAAGAATCAGTCCACTCCCCTGAATAGTAGACTGTAGACAAATCATAGGCAGAAATAAACTTGCTTACTCCTACGAAGTGGAGACCATGTCTCTTCTTCATGCAACAGCATGAACTTAGTGTTTAAGGGTAAACACAAAAAGTAGGCCTGATCCTCCACTATGGTCCCATCATCCTCTAGGACCACTGTGACCGGGGCACTGGGGCTGAAGCCGAGAAACTCACATCCTGTGGGAAGAACGGAGAAATAATAGACTTTACAGATCTTATGAGAATATACAGTCCCAAAGACAATTTTAATGCTAAAAGCATTTTTACTATATAGCCATAGACCATAGCAAAGCATTCAGAAATATAAATAATCTAAATATATATGTAATAGCAACTCACACACCACCTGATCTTTAGCTGATTCAAGCACATACCAATGACTTCTGTACCTCAAACAAGTCAATCCACAAGCTGTCACCTCCTCTTCCATCACAGCTGTTCATATTTGTCACACAGTATGGTGCAGGTGAATGGTTGTGCTGCGTCACCCCTTGTTGTAATTTATAACTTCTTTTTTTTTCATGAAAGTTTTTCAAATGTGAACATTGCAGGTACTGTGTCACCTGTAGTGATAGGACTTTATCAAGATCAAACAGTAGACCCCTACAGATATACTAAATCTATCAATAATATCTAATACACAGGCTGTAAGCACTCCTCCAATGGCCACACACCCTGAAGAGTGCCATAGTCTGGCCAACGCCTGCAGTGCTGACTAGCATCCCAGGAATGAGCAGCACAGGAAGGAGTTCCTGCCTGACTTTTCATGTTTAGTTCCTGCAAGTTTGAACACGATGAAAATGTTGCTACACAGCTCGACCATGATCATAAGTGAGCTTCAATTGTGCAGAAAAATCCCAATGGCGGCAACACTAGGGGCTGACCAGAGTGCTGAAGATCATTTTGTATATGATAACATTTGTGTTTCGCTTTCACATCACACAGCACCCTTAACGTTTCGATACACACAAACCAATACAACTAAACACACCGATAAATACAGGTAACCAAAATAAGAGACTACACGAGGCTGGGTTCCACTTTTAATGTCAGACTTGACTCAGAAATGTGTCTTCTTGTATATACGCAGTGTTTTTTTTTTTTTTTTAACATATCAAACTAGAAGCCTTACAATGACACAGTGACACGAGTTAAAGCCAGTCTTTGACAACTCACCTTTTGCTTTCAGCTCGTCTAAGGACGGAACAACCAACCCATAGGACTTCTGTCGTGTGAAATTACACACCTTACACGGTCTCTTATCTGTCATTCTAGGCTTTATGTGGAGAATGTGTTGTTTCTTTGTATCTTACCACTGACAGATATCAACACCAGTGCTCGCCCACAGTCTTGTACTCAGCAGGTTCGAACACGGAACCGCCGAGTTGGTTTCTTCTTCTACTGAGGGTTTAACGGCAGCTGGCATCCTCACTGTTGCAACACTGCCATCTAGTGGTGGTGGTTAACTCCAACAGTGTCCGGTTTGTCCTGCTCTCTTTAGGAAACTGACCAAATATCTTCTGCCAGTGCTCTTGAATCCTCCTCCTGTTAGACCTAGTGTTTTCATTTCTATCTGATATATACTTCCTGCAACTTTACAACCACTACTACTTTGAATTTAATGTAAATGTCCTCCCCTTCGCTCCTTATCCCAACACTGTTGCCCGTCTTTATTGATTTCACTCTATTTTTTCAAGATAAGATAGGGTGAGATGTTCCTTTATTGATCCCACGTGAGAGACACAGCAGCACAGGGGAAATGTGCTAAAAGTGCAGAAGTGTAAAAATACAATAAAGATTAATAAAACAAAAATATTATTAAGATATAATAGAGAATTTAAAGACTATGATGAATATAAAGACTATAATGTTTAACTCGGATGTCTATGTTTTCTTCTTGTTAGGCTTCACTCTCTCATCACTCTACAATCAAAATGATGTACAACTCAACATTATACCCGCTTAAGAAAACTGAAGTTTGTTTGTGTATTTCAACACTTTGGCTATCGATATATTGTCTGTTATACTTTTTTTAATGCATCTGTGAAAACCTACATATCTGTATTATTTATCTCATTGAATAAATCTGTACATTTATTTCTTGCCTTAAGATAAAAATAACAAATATACCAGCATAGTTTCTAGTAATCACACAGGGATTATAGGCCATACTTTCTCCACGATATCTCAGATTCATCCAAAAGTTGACTAGGAGCTGTTTACAGCATAAACGCAATGACATTTGTCCTGTCACAGCTTAAGTCTTTCAATTAACATTCATTAATTTATTCATGCCCTAACACTCAAAATAAATGGGGCACTCTGCTCACCTTCAGTATCTTCCTTTTAAAAGCTGCAGGTGACTTTTATAAAACTAACTTTTTTTCATATTTGCTGAAACTTTCAGCTCTGATTGGTTGTTTTTGTTCGGCCTGGTGGATTCTTGAAAATACCATTAGGAGTAGGCTACTAGGATGAGCGAGAGGAAGCTTATTTGTTCACTGATTATTTGTCTCATGTACTACTGCCAGGATACAATGAAAGTTTCAGCAAATATGGCAAAAAGTTATTTTTTATAGAAATTACCTACTGCAGCTTTAAGGCCTCCATGTTTTCAGATCTTGCTTTCTCTCTGCCTCCTGTCCTTTCCACACAAATTATTATAAGTGTGTTCAACACAAACAACTCAAACCTGCCGCAACTATGACGACTTCGACTCTCTCCAAGCGGTGGGGGACTCTGGGATATGTAGTTTTTCATATATTAGAGAAAATAACAAGAAAAGTGAATGCATTGTAACACTAATAGCCATTTACATTTCACTCACTAGCACTAGTTACAGCAAACACAGAAATACTACGCTTTCTGTTTCCAAATAACTCTTCGCTTTGCTAGCACCAGCCACCTGAAGCCAGAAGTCCTTTAAGATGCACTGACCCAACCGAACTGTCCTCAACTTAAAATTGTTCTGTTAACTTCTTGGAAATAAATAGACAATATTTTCTGTCCACAAGACATTTGCAATCAGTACCAAACTCATTTTCTTTTAATGTGTAATTTAGTCACGGTTAATGCCCCATTAATAAATGATTACAGTTTACAAAGGGATATTATCAGCCATATGGGCCTTGATTGATAGGGCAGTCTTAGAGCGGTCAGACTTCAAGAGGGGGCTGGAATATGAGACGGACAAGGGGGACAACTGCTTTATGGTCCCCAGATGGTCAGGGGCCCCTATGGCCCCGGTACCACTGTTTTATTAATCACACCTATGTGAAGGAAATTACCACTTGAAACAATACGCTTCTTAAGAGGCCATGTTTAAAATAAAAAAGATAGTCTTAATAATGCCCAATAATATTTGTACTATATCAAGTTCTTATGATTAAGACTTAATTCAGTTGATACTGTCCTTACATGTGTTGGTTGTAAACATTAAGCTTTCATGTGAACTCTGCTGTAATAATAATAATAACAATAATAATAATAATAATAACAATAATAATACATTTTATTTAAAAAGCGCTTTTCTGAATACTCAAAGACACTGTACAATATAATATAAGAAGAATACAAGAACATCAATCAGTAAAACAATATAAAACAGTACATTACATACATTAAAAACACATGAGACTGAGCTAGATTTTAAAAGCCATTTTAAAAAGGTGTGTTTCCTGTTCTTAATGAGCAAAACTGTCACTTTCTGTGATGGACACAGACCGTTACTAGGGCCACTCTGACCGTTACTAGGGCCACTCTGACCGTTACTAGGGCCACTCTGACCGTTACCAGGGCCACTCTGACCGTTACTATCCTTCAGGAAAAGTAATCGAGCGCGGTTCACTCGAGCAGCCACTGAGCAAACAAGGGATAGGAAGATGGCATCCACCGATCAACCTGATCCACCAACACAGGTCTACATTTATGCAACTAAAACATTTACCTATTGATGTCCACATACGACAACGAGCTCCTATAACGTGTTTAAGACGTCGTGATCCTTGAACGCAGCCATTTCAGTGTGCTACTTTTATAAATGCTCAGCTAGCGAAGGTTAGCATGCTTGCTAAGTAGCTTTTTAGCTAGCTCCTTCAACGTTTGAAAAGTTGCCTCCCAGACTTGTTTGTGTTGACAAGTGGACACGAAGGGCCAAGCTGACGTTCTTTCGCTTTATCACACGTTGCCCAAACTTATGTGGCTTGCTTGACCATGACTAAATGAAGCTGAGTCCTTCCATTTGGCCATGTAGCCTAGTGTGTGTGTGTGTGTGTGTGTGTGTGTGTGTGTGTGTGTGTTGTTACGTGCAGTTAATGAGGATGTGGAAAGGTCACTGTTAGCCAAACAAGCCTGGTGGTTTGTTCTTCTGTGGCTCTTTGCTAACACGATGTTGGTTTAGCTAAAAAAAAAAAAAAAAAAAAAGCTACAAACATGGATCCTTCCGAGGAAACATGTTGTAGAAAGTTCTGCCTCACACTTCTCGCCATGGCCAAATTGACTGTTTGATGCTGTTCATTTCAGCACTCAACCCCGTATTTGCCATGGCCCTTCATTTAATTAAATGTGCATAGTTCAAAGGTAGACTTAAATAACATTCTTTATTGAGCATTAATATAAAGAAGCCACAGATGGGGACATTTTGCAGAGTAAGGAAACATGCAATGCAAATGGGTGATTCTACTCTATTCTCCCACTTCTATAACTAGATTTTAGGTGCATTCAGCAAATTACCTAGGAATTGTTAAACACAGTCAAATGACACATTATATGCTACTGTCCAGACTAGTTGGTAGGAGTTTGAGGCTTCAGATATATGATGTTAGAGATGTTAATGTTTTAAACTATTTAAATTAGTCTTTAATTCAGTTCAGTAATATTAATCTGTAAAATTGATAGATAATAATATATTTAGATAGGAGGATCGACTTGCTCACTGTAAGTGCTATCTAACCATTGCTGTATTAAACACACATAGCCTCTGCCCTCCACTAGATGGCACTCTAACACAAGTTGTTTGTTTATCTCAGCCTGGCCTTCCACCTGGACATGATGCAGTGGCTCCCCCCAGAGAAGAACTGGTAAGGATGGAGCATTTAATACAAATGACTTGACTGATATGGACTAGAATAACAAAGGAATACAAGTATGTCTATTTGATGTAAGTGCATATCAAATGGATATTGCAGGTTAAATCAAATTATAATTTAAATTCCATCTTTATTACATAATCATTTTCTGATTTTGATAAATTCTGAATGCCACGATTCTCAACCATGTAGGATCAGTGCCCCAGAATGTACTTTTTTTCAAACACTTTCAGCTGATTTAACTTGTCCGTGTCTTTGCCGTGATTGTGCGCTAACCAGTGAAATCAGCTGTGTGGTTACGGTACATTGTGTCTGTTTTTTCATGATCTGATGACTTAAAGAAGTTTGTTTTTCATCTTTTCATCAACAATATCCTTTCCCCTGGCTAATCAGATGATATTACACATTCCCCAGTGAGATCAAGTGTTAAAGGCTTCCAATTAGCAGCCAGTCACTTACGCACCACACTGATGTACTGTGATGTTTGGGGAGTAAAAAGGTCTGTTTTAGCAGTCACAATGGTTTCATGGTTGCTTTAATCATGTTTAGTATCAAACGTGTGTCTTTGTGGTCCTTCGTTTAGTGCATTGTTTTTCAGTTGGGGTCATGACCCACAAGTTGTTCCAGGAAGATTTTGAATTAGTTTTTAAAAAGTCAGTTGTCACCAACAGAAAAAAAGAATATATTGTATAAACAAACTTTTGTCAGTTATAGACTGTGTTTTAGTCACTCGAGATGCCTGCAATCCTCCTTGTGCCCCAAAAAAGCAAAAGAAAGTTTCCTTATTCGTACTTGAAGGTGTGGAATGCTGTAAAAGAATATTTTGATGTCATAGCAACTGATAATATTGCTTCACTGTTGCATTATTGTAGTAAAGTTATACATAAGCAGTGATAAAAATATTATGAAATGTAAATATTTTTGATTCCCCCTTTAACTCCGGGTATCTAGAGTAAAGTAGCTGAGAAAAATGATGAAAACCAGTTTCTTTTTCAGGTAGTCTGCTATGCACGCTGCAGTCCCTCATAAGTTGTTCCAAGTGGCGAATACACGCAAAGCCAGCAACATTTAATGACAATAAACATCAGTTGTTTTTCAATAATGTGTGAAGGAAAGTGTTCATAAGGCATGCTCGGCCCAAGTGATGACAATGATTATAGCCGGGACTGTCTTACTGCTAAGTGGGATGGAATACATCACAGGTACATTCTCTGTCCTTGTATGGACACAGCATCCAGGTTAGGGGAGCGCTGTATTGTTCAGCCTACATGTCTCAATGTCATTCACCACCATTCACTCTT